CACTCTTGCAGGCACCAGATTCTGAACCTAAAAAACCCAGCAGCAGTGGGGAATCTCCCAAAAGGTTTCCAAACTAAGAAAAGATGGAGTTGTATATATTATAATAGAAAGGATCTAATTCTCCCCATCATTTACACCCACACAAAGCTACTATCAAGTTTCACAGTCGTGGGTATACATCATTCTGCACTGGATAAATTTAGTCTACACGGGACATAAATAGGATGTCACGGAGTTCATCTGCCTTTGGGGGATCCGATGACAGGCAAAGCATCCTCAGGAACACAGCTGGCAACAACCACTTCAAATCTGACAAACCGCTTTCCCGGCTAAACAGATTGAATCGGGGAAAACGCTGTTGAAGCAGACATTTAAATAGTTAAATGGGCATTTGTTAAATAACAGCTGGCAGAGGACTGCTGTCTAACAGAAGAGTATTGAGGAAAATGACAGCCAAAACAGAAAGGAACTTATGTGTCAAATAAACGCCAATTATAACAGTTTGGGGTAGGAACGTCTGCTCATCTCGGGGCCGTAACCAAGCTGACAGATACATTTATAAGCAGATGCAATGCAGTGAAGACAAGGTATATGTCATTTCAAGGGAATAAGGAAAACTGGTAAAACACAACTTTGGTAACATGTGGATGCACAAGTGTCCTAGATCTAGACATGTCAGGTGTTCATAGCATGTATCCTCTTGGTACCTAAAATCAGATTACAAGTCTGCTGGGATTTTCATATCGATCTGAAAGCATCAGAGAAGAAAAATTGAAGTGTTTCTGTATTTGAGTTGTCTTACATCATTTGCCAGGTGATATAAAGCCTGTTCAAAGTTTCCTTCAGCAGCACAGAAGAGTCCCAGACCACGATGTAACTGATACTGAATATCAGCGCTGCAGTCTGGAGTTCTGAGGACAATCCACTCGGCTTGGGAGAGATACTTGGATGCCTGCGGAAGATGGCCAACACCTGAAATGACACGTCGAAATAAGCAGGATAAAGAGCATTTTTTTTTATTTAGAAATGTACAGGATACTGCCTGCTATACCCTTGCAGTCATTTGATATGGAGACTTAGTTTGTGGATTCCTTCCTTCTCTCCCAAGTGCTCCTTAGTCAGGCAGGTATTCAAAAATCTAATTTACAGACAGACCGAGTGTCTAGAACTACAGGAGAAGCCAGAAACTGCATATTGCATTCTGAAACACGTGTTCAAAACAGGTTAGCTACAGGCAGCCACTAATGACTGACGTATTATCACACTAGAATTACTCACGGGATTTTTTTTGCCTTCTCTCACCACCCGATTTATGACAATCCCTGAGACAGCTCAGCTCTGCCAGCAGAGCATTGTGTACACTCCCGTAATGGCAACGACTTACAGCGATTTCTCGGTCCTTTACGTCTGCAGCTGAGGAGAGTGGTTCTCCACACGCAGAGCCCTAATTTGACTTTTTTTTAATAAAGCATAGAGTCAATGAGAAAAAGCTCTGCTGCAGGCAGAGCACGCTTTTGTGAATGAGCTGAGGCATTCCTCTGATGACACGGCCTGAGAAATGTTTGCCGGTTCCTTGAGATAAGAGCGCAACCACCCACCCTCGGGAATTTAATGCTTTTCAGAGTCATACGAAACCACAGAGGCAAAGAATAGATTTTCATACCGCTTCTCTTGTGGGACTCGGTAGAGATGGAGAAAACATTTCATTTACTTTCATTGATCTCCCATCCCCGATGACTGATTCTTTTCCCCAGAGGGACACAGAAATAGGCAGCAGGGGTGTGTGTGTGACTTCTCAAATCTCTCTGAAATGCCCTTGAGGCTGGGCAGGGTAGAGGCATGGCACAATGTTGAAATGCAGAGCTGGTCCTTCCCTGATAAATGGTAAAAGGAAACCAGAAACCTGACCCAAGGGAGGTCTTGCCCTTGCCAAGTTACTATTTAGACAATACTTGCCAGTGGAGGCCTCGGCCAAGAGGAGATAAGCAGGCACCAATTGCACAGAATTTGAGCCGTACACTTCAGTACTGAAATGCAGGGCATGCAAAGCTGCAGGAATCGCTTCTTTATGCTTTCCATCCAAAACAAACTCCTGGGCTGTGCCGTACGCGAGATCGATGATGTATTTCTGCAGGGAAACACAGAAATGGGACAGAGGGAGCCAAGGATAAGGAGAAAGAATATGCACCGTCTCTTTTTACATTCAAGTTTGCAAACTGTAAAACAGTGATTGTAACATTGTTTGTGTCTGTAATTAATGGATGGAAATTAAAGCTGTCATATTAGAGCCTGGCTTTCATTCCTACTTCTAGCAGGAACAGCTCTGGACACCCTCCTAGGTCATGTGGTGTCTGAGGAGGTGAAGAATTCCTGAAGCCTACGAAAAAGGACTAATAAGGCTGCAGCAATAAAAGCTGTGAAGCACAGAAAATGATCATCACAAGACCATAGAAAAGATTAGACAAAGGGGCTACGACGAGGTTTTGCTGACGGTAATAACGGTGACTCATAGCAGGCAGTGGAGCGTATGGTTTGCCAAGCTGCTGCCAGCATGGCACAGCTTCAGCTGCGGGAGACATCGGCTGGAAGCAGGGAGAGAGCTCCTCACGTGGTGCTGCAGCTTCCTCCCACCTCTCCCGGCCAGCTCTGGGCCTGGTGTTTTTGGGTGCAGAGCCTGGAAAGTCAGTTAAAATCAGAACACCCTCGTGCATTACACCCCTGGACACCCATCACCCAAGCTGGGTTTGGTGGTCAAGCAGCCTCTGCAGGATTTCTGTTTGTTGTCAGAATCCAGAACGTTTCCCGTAGGTATCATCGCTTCCTGCCTTTTGCTGCTCCTTGCAGTCCACATTTGGTCTTTTCACCCTTTGCAGCATCTGATCTATTCACCAGCTCCAGAAACGTATCTCTGAACGCCCGTTCACTGCCAAGAGCTCTGTGGCAGCTGTAGGTGCTGTGCCCTCACGACGTGCTGAGGGATGCCAGCAAAAAAGAGCCAAGATGCTTATTTATCTATTTCTCTTTGCTTGCAGCGTAACTGTTGCCAACTCCCAACAATTCTGCGTCGGCTTTTCACAAAAGTGGTGCAGCGGGAAAGTTGCCTGGAAAGAAATGTTGTTGCTGGTGTGCCTAGCAGCGCTGCCATGGTAAGGCACTCGCTCTCCTCTTGCTAGGAGGCACGGGCAGGCCTGGGCAGTGAGCGCCGGCAGAAAACACCATTTTACCTCTTTGTTGCCTTCTGTTTTACAGTTGCGGCTGAAGAAACAAATCCCAGTGCTTTTGGAGGCCAGGCTTTGGCATTTTGCTGAGCTTTAAGTGGTTAGAGAGAGGCAGAGAGAATCATGCCAAGGGTGAAGGAACAGTTTAGGGATAGGGAACCTCAAGGACAGCCTGTGAGTGTTTCCTGGAGATCCTGGCTGAGGTAAAGGGACATCCATTCTGGATAAACGAGAGCTTCGAAGAACACACCCCAAAGCGACAACACTCTGCTACAGCAAGGAGAGCCAAGAGCTAGAAAACACAGCTGCCATCCCCTCTCTAGCGCCTGAGCGACCAGCAGATAGAGAATGAAAAAGGCATGCACCAAAACCAAGCCGTGTGGTTCTCCTGTGCCCAGGAGAAAGTCAGCACACGCTCAGGGCAAGGAGCAATAAACGCTGTTATTTATCAGGCTGCCTTTTCGGTCCATGCCACCCTTTCTCCATCACAACCGGCACTGGCTTTGGTGCGTGGGTATCGAGCCGATTGTCATCTGGGGAGGTGCTGGAGATCAGGATCATTCTTTTTTTTACTCCTTGTCAATAGGATCATCGCTGCTTCCCACAACGTCAGCTATCTTAAAACATCTGCAGTGAGGACAAGCTAAGGGTTAGACTCTTGCACAGCTCCCAGGAGCAGAGGAAAGGGCAGGAGACCACGGCGGCCCTGCAGCACTGAATATTTAAGACTGCGCAGTTACAAGCCTTGGGGGGTTCGTTAGCTTTGGCCCTGTGCTGGTTTTCATCAGCCCCACGCCCCCAGACCTGCACACTTTGGGTTCTTTTCATGTGTGTTGCAATTACAGAGGTTTCTCTGAAGATGCCCCCACGCAGTTTTGCCCCAGTTGGGGTTTGAGGCGGCTGAGGACCCCAGCTCTGCTCCAGGTGGGCGCGGAGGGTGTTGGGAACACACCGGGGGGTCGGTGCCACATCCATTTACTTGCTCACAGGCACCAAAAACGATGGCGCGCTTGAAGAAACGACGATGTAAAGAGGAAGGCAGGCTCTCAGTCAGAGTTGAAACCTGGAGCGAGCAGCGGTGCGGGAGGACTGCTGTAGCTGGCTGAGGCATGGATCTTTTCCCGTACCCAGAGGCTGCGGTGAGCTGACATCACGCAGGCAGGTGAGGCTATTCTACAAACAGAAACTTGGAGTTTTGTCAGTTTGGAGGTACCGTCTGCGGGCACCCCCCCCGGCTATGTTGACAAAAGCAGATTTCTATCAACAAAGCTTTGGAGTACAGAGGTATGAAACTCATAACACCGCCTGGCTCTCAACTTCATGCGCCTTCCCTTAAGCCAAAGGGCATTCTGATGTTCACAAGCTTTCCTGTGTCCTGACTAAGGCTCGAGCTGTGTGTTTTCTAAACAAACACCGTGCAGGAGTTTGTGAAGTACAGCAGAAATCTTCAAAAAAATAATAAACCTATGGGCAGGCTTTGAGCAGAAGGTTTTTTTTTTTTCTTTTCTGATCATCATGATACTACACAGCTTTTCCCTGAGCAATAAAAGACTTTTTTAAAGCATTTTTGTTGGCTCTGTGAGTAGGAATGTGATGAAGCTGGCAAGACAGGGCATTAAATAATCTTGCTCTCTCCCAGCCAGTCTAGGCCCACCCTTGTCTGCCCTATACCTTGCTGTATATGAAGGCAGCCTTCACTTGTGGGCTCACAGCTGCAGTCTCGCTGTGAAAACAAGCAGGTAAAAAACCAGGGTGTTTCCACTTTTTCACTCCTTCCTTAGGAGACAAGGAAGACAAAGTGTCCCAGCACATAACGCTCCCAGATTCTATTTTATTTAAATAGCCTAGAGACAAAGGTCAAAGAACAAATGTAATAGGGTTGTTAAAGATCCTATAAAAATCTCTACTTCGAAAAAAAAACCAAAAACAAAACACAGTCTGCTCTCTCTGACTTTTCCCATGAAGTCATTCCAAGCCTCGGCTCAAGCTGCGGGCTAACCTGGGTGTGCACTTTAGTCAAGAGTGACTCTCCCTTCTCCACCAGCCCCGTCTTCCTGCTGTCTTCTCCTGGATTCTAATAAAACCAAGTGATTAGCTTCCATCTAATCAGGGAGTACCTCCTCGATCTGGCAGTCACGTGCTCTTTTGCCATGTATAATGTGTCATAATTTTAGTTGCTATAAATTCAGTGACATAATAACAGATGCTTTCAACATCAGTGTTCAATATGTAGGTAAAGTTTCTTGGCAAAGCTTTAAGCGATTAAGGGTGCAAAAAAACCTCTGCCACTGCCCACAACAAGACCAATTTTAACTTTTTTTTCTTCTCAGATTTTATGAAAGATGAACTTCAATGTCACATGGAACAAAGGAGCTTTTGCGTTTTTCCTGACACTTCTGGGACATACAGTTCTAAACACACCTTCCTTGGACTTTGGTCAACAATCTCACATGTGATTTTCAAGCAGATGGGATTTTCAAAATCAAACTGGGTTGTCAGCACCCAATTCCTACAAAACCTACAGGAATCTGCTGCCTAAAGCTTGTTGCAGGACTTTTGTCTACACAGGTTTTGCTTCTTTTAGGCCTTCTGTTTCTGGATGCTCCCACAAAAGACCACAGCAACGAGCCAGTCACCAAAGCACTAGCACCTGGCCCAGAAACAACCTTACAAATAACATAGAATGTAAAATCCAGAAGATTAATGATGTTCTTCTCAGTGACACCGTTTGATTGTTACCAGCTCACCTTCAGCTGTTCTGTTGTCCTATTATTCTGCGATTAGGAGTTATGCAACGATAGAAGGATAATTTATTTTTATGGGTGAGATTTTAAGCAGCAGATGTATTTGGGTGGGTTATTTTATTTTATCAACATCGCGGAAAAGCAGATCCTGCCACCCCATCAACAACAACAACAACAAAGAGTTGAAAACCACTTGGGTTGGAAAGGAGCTGCACATCTGCACCACCCACGAGGCCAAAATGCAGAGATAAAAGACAGTAGTTAGTGGGAAAGGGCGTGTAATGTTGGCCAGGTAAACAAAGGGAAGGGACTTTATTTCTTTGCTCCCCTGCTTTGAGAAAGGGGAATCCCCCTCATCAGCGACGGATCATGACAACCTCTGAGAAGCAAAAGTCAGTTGGATGCTGGGCTAACTGGGGAGAAGGACTAACTATCTGGCAAAGTGGGAGATCCAGGATTGCTGCTGCCTAAGGAACCTCAGGACTTTGAGTCAGGACTGCGAAAAAGGTGGAATCAGAGTGAGGATGCTCCCCCTCCCCTTATTATAGAGTTCTTGTTCAAAAAAATAAATTAAAGCTCTGCAACTAAGTACTGAACAACCAACGAGGTGCCCTCCCAACGCTACATACATCAAAATATAGGAAGAAGAGATCAAATTCAATCTCACTGGCAGTTCTCTGAAGTGGGATTCATTTTTCTTGTACATACCTGCCTCTTCACCAACTGTTCCATGCCATGTTTTCTTTCTTTTTCAGAAAGGAAAAAAGGGAGGGATGTGCGGATTGGAATCAGGAGCTGGCATATCTTCTTGTGGATGCTAACCCAGTCAGCTTTTTGATGATCTACATCACTAACAAAATAAGGTAAGAACGGTATTTTTGTTTGCTTGGAAATGATGTAAGGGAAGATTGTTGCGTCTTCTGGACTTTCACCACAAGAATCACCCACAACAGCCACCAGTCTGCTGACAGAGTATCTCACATACACTTGACATTCCCAAACGGGACCACAGCGCTGTCCTGCCGATGATTCTGTACGTTAAAACCTTATGTAAATCACTCACAAGACTCCTGATACAGTCAGGTTTGAGCAACTGCCTGGCTTTCAACACTGCGGTACACAAAATAAAACCCACCGAAGCCCAAAGCCAAACAACCCCCGAGTTATTGTGAAACCCATAAAATGTATAGTTAACATATGACTTCACTGAGGACCCTGTGTAACTGCAGATGTTTGTGTAAACATCTAGAACGCTCACTGCGCTGCCCTCTATTTGATGTGGGCACTGTTGGAAGTGAGGAGGAACGCTACAGGTGAGCGATTGCTGTGTGCTCCCTCCAGTTCCCACTACCCTGCGGCTGAGCCCTTGTCCCTCCCTCCCAGGCTTCATCCCTGCGTCCTGAGCCTCGTGCCTCTGTCCTGAGCCTCGTGCCTCTGTCCTGAGCCTCATCCCAGGGCTGGTCCCTGCATTCCGGGTTTTGCCCCTGTCTCTCAGCCTTTGCCCAGAGCCTGTCCCAGTATCCTAGGCCTGGCACTGGGCCTTGTCCTGGGCCTTCTCTGTGTGTCCTGAGCCTTGTTGTGGGGCTAGTCCCTGCTTCTTGCTCTGACCTGGGCCTGTTCCTGCCTCCTGGGCCTTCTCCCTGTGTCCTGAGCCTTGTCCCGGGCTTTCTCCCTGCTTCTCGCCCTGTCCCTGGCC